GATTCATCATTTTGCTGCTGATGTGCTGTTGTGCTGTTGGTCTTTTGCAAACAGGTTTCTTTATTTAATCTGAAAAAAAAACGTCAATGTCTAAAGTACTCTTAAAATCTCTGTGAAAACTAAAGTTGCTTTGTCATTCATCAAAAGGGTGATTTTTTTCAACTTTTATATGGAACGTTTTTAACATGTTAGGCCATATTACATGCAAGTTTGTTATAGATTTACAATAATTGTAACAATTGGTGCACTTATATATTTTGAGGACTCAAATGGAATGAGCAAATTGTCTAAACAGACAAAAAAAGGCAAATGTTGTCTTTCGTTTTCTCAGAAATTCAAAGCCAGTGAAAATCCCATCAGAATTCTGCTAAAGTAGGATGTTTTCTGCACTGCTAAGTTAAAAAGATTTGCTCTTGGAAGTGTGATGTAGCACACGTGTAAACAGTGGCTGTGGAATTGAAACGCCTTCAGTGTCATAGTGCTGAAAAGGAGGTCAGCTAATTGGGACGGCTAAATATATTTCAGAGGGTACACCTTCTCCTTGGACTGTGCCAGAGTCACCACTGTAACAGATTTAGTATCCTTTTGAAAATGACGCGATTCTAACTTTCTGATGACCGCAAGAAAGCCCCATAAAAGCTGATACAGCTGTAGTGTCAATTACATGCACAACTTAGTGCATAATTTTTACCTCAACGTCATACAAAACAAAAGCAACCAGCATAACGGCAAATGATCCAGGCTGTTTCCTGCTTAATGTTGCCCTGCATGTGTAGTGCTTTAGAATGGAATCCATAAATCATTATTAAATGAGTGCAGAAAATCTAATGTATGAAACACAGAGAGGACAGAAATAGTTGATGTGTGGGCATCCGCAGATGTTTGGAAACAATGTCAGAATCTCACGGATGATATTAGAAAAAATGGAAAACACCAACAATATCATTTCCAGTGTTCTGCAGCATAAGTTAAGATGCTTTGTAATAAATGGTAATAGGTAGGAAAAAAATTGGTAAATGAGAAGAGATCAGGAGGACGTGTCAGTTTCTCCATCCATCTTTGATTGCACACATCTTTTAAAAGAAACTCACTTTTGTTTTCTGCTTGTCTTTATTCTGAACAGTTATCTCCTGTTCTCATGTATTGAAACATTTGTATATTTAAGTAGAGTTTGGTGACCAGTGGACTCACCTGTAATTGAGGAAACTCTACTTTAAAAACAAGCCATAGTCCATCGCTGCAATATTTAGATTAAAAGGTTTATACTTATCCTGCTTGTAGAGTTCCAAAATTGTGAAAAATTGTATTCCCATAATTCTTGTCTATTTGTAACTTTTCTATACAAAAACCAAGCAGCAATCGTATATCAGTGCTGAGCCATTCGACCCAACAGTGAGCAAATTTTGAGGATTTTGATTTGAATACAAATTAGGATGACCTTCACAACACTTGGAAAAGAGACTCTTCTAGTCACTCACTTCTGCGTTTTGAGGGGGATTCTCTGGATGAGTTATTACTTGTTTTACTGAAAAGCAGTCAGATGTGACCACAGCTTAATGGCTTTTTCTCAGACCTCCGCGTTTCTGAGAGTTGGTCCTCGTGGCTGGTTTTTCTTCCTTAATTAAAGATTTTCAGGTTTATTATTGGCAAAGAACAAATGGAAGTCTTGTCCGTTTAAAACCATCCCAGTCTCCTCAGAAGTCACATTGCAGAGCCAACACAATATTCTGAGCAGTCACTGCACAGACAATTGGATTGTGCAGTCTTCTGGCTGTGATTTACCATATTTGGTAATAAAGTAACATGTTGTCAAACTGTTTGCTCTGACATAAGCTGCAGCACAGCCATGAGGATATCCCGTCTCTAAGCATGAGCTCAAGACTTTTTAATCTTGGGCAAAGTCAGAAAGCACACCAGCAAATGTATCAGCAAAGAAAGCTTTAAAGGCATGACAATAGACAGAAATGACGCACCCTAAAGGAAGCTTGGCAACTCTCATAGCCCTGAGATGTAGGAGTGAGTAGTGCTAAGATATACTTATTCTGTTTTGAAATTCCATCAGGAGCTAATATGAATCTCCCAAAATATCTATAATATCTCAAACCTGGGAGGATCAAGGAGATTGCATGCTCTCTCCATGTATGCATAGTTTCTCTCTGGGAAATACTCCAGATACCTTCTACCATCCAAAAAGATAAACTTTTATGTAACTACTGAGTCCAAATAAAGCATAGGAGTGTGTTTGGTTGTTTTTAGCCCAGTCACAACCCAACGTTTTAAATATCATGCATATTTATATAGCAGGGAGACTGTAAATGTGGATAAAAGAAAGAAAATAAAAACACTGCTGTAATTTTACCTATTAGCCAAGGACATATTTTCACATACTACCATTGATAAACTGTTATATGTTTTAGAAAGTGTCCTTTAGAACACCCCTGTGTGCATTGTGTTGTTAAATCCCTGTCACTCCATCTCAAAAGATGCAAATTCATATAATAAGAAGTCCAAAATATACACCATTTTGGGAAGCAAATCATGTAATTCATACAAATGTTATGGCTGACTAATTCTGAATGGTTCATAAATAGTTCAGTGCTGATAAAGTGATTAAAGCTTGAAAAAACTGTACTTTCTGACAAAATGGCAATCACACATCACACATCAAAGACGAATCAAAGAAAGCGTATAATCATGTCAGTTTTCTGGTCAAAATGCTCTATTAAACCTAACTTATCCTGTCTTTTGATGGACATTTAATTTGTTGTCAACAAATTAAACCAAATCACATTCTGATCAGACTGTGACATTTAACAGGCTGCACACTTGAGATGGAGTTTGCAGACACTAATACAAAGGGGAAATTAGACTGATGAGGTTTTTGCTCTCTGTGGCCACCTCACTGGTCCCTATCATGCATTAAGAAGACTGAGAATAATGTTACCTTCCGATTGAAGTGATTGGGCAACGGCAATTTGACTTCACTGAACATTTAGTTGCTTATGCCAAAAGACTAATAAAGTCATTAGCTCTGTATGTTTTTATGCCATCAGGGACTTTTGATTGTTGGGCAATGGCGTAGATTAAGTACAATAATTTGGTTTGTTTAATAAGTTTACCAGTTGCTGGCATAAAAGTGAAATTAACAGTAAAGGACCAAGTGTTCTACAATTCTTTTTTGAACATATCTGGTGGTTTCAGAAAATAATAGCTATGTTTTTGTACCTTGTGGGAAAGAACAGCTATAATAATGGTAGAAACTGTCCAATTTCTACTGCTCTGTTTTAGGCAGAATGAATCAAATTTTCCTCTTATTGTTCCTCCTAAGACTATTTGAAGTTTAAGAATGGATTAGCATTCAACATTCTCTCTTGAATGATTTATGAGTCAAATTTGAATTGGCTGCTTGCAATTTCAAGGCAAAGCTTTTTGTAAGTAAGCTGCTTGATAAGAAACAGGTTTTTGATTTGTGAAGAAATGCACAATACAGGAACAATTCATTCTTATAGGTATAATACGTCCTCCTTTTTTGGGTGAAATACAAAGTAATTGTTATTTCGCTGCCTTGGTAGGAAGCCGGCAATACTAACAGGACCTTTGTAAGTCTGATGGACATCTGATATACGGATTTAATTTCCCTTCTTGGGAAAGTGGACAAAGTAATACTGTGATAGAGGAAATGACTCATTAGATTAATTACACTGTAAAACAGGTACATCTCCATCAATAATCCTGATTACTTCACTTTTGATCAATACACATTTACAGGCAACATGCCAATCTGATGACCCCTGAGTTAGAAGGAAATCCTGCAACCTCAGGCTTATATACAAATTTATTATTCATGTTTACCTTCAGTCTACAGTGCCCTGTTGTCTTTTCATAATTAACGTCAGGGGCCATCAACATCACTTTACCTAATGTAAGTGAGCACAGGGTGTAAGTGTTGAATAAACAAATGTTACGAAGTCAGCAATATGTTATAGACATTACGACAATAATCTGACACGAGGGTAAATCCGTCATATATGTAAGTGGCATAGGCAAAAACCTTTCTGACAATCTGGAGATCTATGTATTATATAATCTAATGTAATGTAATGACCCTTCTGCAACTTATTGTAAGTGGTCACCACGATGGCAAACAGTTTTATAATGTGTTGAGATAATGTAAAGCACATGAAAGGTTAAACAGGCAGTATATTATGACTCAGTCAAACAGGAGACCACAAACTTGTCAGCTGAAAGCTAGAATCCTAAAATACTCTAGAATACCATATACCAAGAAACGCCTATAAGCCTCAATTAACTGAATATTGTACAGATGTGGCCACATTTTCTCCACTTGAATCTGAGGTAGTGATAACATTGTCCAGAGATACAGCGGAAGCAGCATAATAAGTCATGAAATGGATTTTATCGGTGGTATTAAAGTCTGATAACATTATTAAAAGAGCTTCAACTTTATTCTCATTGCATATGAAGCAAAATTGGGTTAATATTTTTTCCATATGAATGTGTTTCCAATGTAAAATATATCTACAGGCATCTACCGTGCACATTTACATGGTCCTACTTTTTCATTTCACTTTCTGCAAAAATATTGGGCAACTCCTAAAAGCTTTACAAAGAGCCTGGTGTACAGTAGATCGTTTACTGTTGGTATGAGCACTCCCTTGACAGAGCTATAGGAAAAGTGTCCATTAATCAACCAAAATAGAAACTGAAATGTCCCTTAATAGTTGTGTCTGACCGTAATGTCCAATAAGGGATTTGAAAATCGGCCTTGGATTTATGGAGCATATTATTATGAGTTTCAACAGGGAGTTTTGTTGGTTTCACAAATGAAAGTCAGAGGAAGAAATAATGGATTGTTTTGGCCAAATAGCCTTCTAAATTTTAGTTTCAGTTCAGTCCATTAGCTGAAATGAGCCCACTCCAAATTAATCATTAAGAGGAGTGAGTCAACCTTTTTGTGAATTCTTTTAAAAAACATATTTCTGTCTTTTTCAGTCTGTTCACAGTTCTCAAGAGGAGTCTACGCCATCTTTGGATTCTATGACAAGAAGTCTGTAAACACCATCACATCTTTTTGTGGCACTCTACACGTCTCCTTCATCACACCCAGCTTCCCTCTGGATGGAACTCATCAGTTTATCATCCAGATGCGACCAGACATCAAGGGGCCTCTCCTTAGCCTTATCGAGTACTATAAGTGGGACAAGTTTGCCTATCTATACGACAGCGATCGAGGTAAGTCATTTACTGCCGCATGATGCATGTGAAACAACAGTAAGCAATGTGTAGGTCACATCTAGAGGAGTCCCATTCACGAAGATGAGGGTATTTTGGCTCATGTCTCACATAATCAACAATAGCAGCTTTTGTGTTTGAGTCATTTCACATGAAATGAAGTCGTGGAGGCAATCCGGGTCATCTTACAGTTCAGTAGAGAGGAAATTACCTGCAGCTGTTGATTTCCATAGTCGCTTCAGATTTGTCAAAGTTTGTTCATTCGACATGAACACTCACAAAAAGGTGTGCCCCCCCCACAACATAAACTAAGTACATTAAAATAGTTTAGCTGGTAAATCAATAAAATTATAACGTTTACCATCACAATTGAGCAAGAAAAAGAGATGTTACATTTGTACATCATCACCTGCTGGGCAGAAAGTCATACTAAGAAAACTGGTATGAACAACTCCGACATTATATGCTTTTAAAATAGCTCATGACAGCAGGACATGTGAAAATTACTCTCGAAAATTACCCAAAGCATTTTTCCTCCCTGCTCTGGTAAATACAGTATGTATGTGATATATAAACCACAGCTAAAATACATGAACACACATTAGCTGAGCAGAATAGGTTCGAATTAAAAGACAGAAACAGTTTAAAGAATTTGTTTAACTAATGAAAAAAGGGAAAGTCTGCAGTATGCTGAATAGGTGTCACATCATTAAATCAACTGTCGGAGGATATTTGCACTGTAATGTGAAGGGTTTAAGTGTCATGTCAGTGTCAACTCCCATAGCAGGTGCTTTTTATAGGAACAAATATCAATGTTCGGATAGTCACTGCAGCTTGTAATTAAATTAAAAGAAGAAATACTTGATTTTGTAAACTTGGCCTGACAGAAGAATTGAATAACAAAGCATTTGTCAAAGATAACTCAGCTGTTTCAGTGTGAGCAACCTAATTAAGAGTCCTGGAGGAAGCAATAGCCTAACCTGAATATGCGTGGTTACGCCACTAATCACAAAGTGGCTGGGACACTGACTAAAGCGTGCCCCCACACTTTCACACCCAACTTTGTAAATTCCATAAACCAGATGTAAACCAGCTTTAATCTGGTCACATGCCCTAATTTGAAGCTGTGCTGAGCCTTTGATCTATGAATCTGTTAGACGGAGAAATATTCCACGAGATGAAAATATTATTTATAGCTGTAACTTAAATCCAAAAGCACTTAATGCCAAAATATGGAACACTTTATTTATCAGTATAACTTTTCTGATCTAAAGTAATTACGTGACCTGAAGAAGGTCATGGTGATGCGCATATTGAAAAAAAATAAAATCTTTTATCATGTCAGGTTTGCTGCAGACAGAATAAAAAATCCTGCCGTTATGGCCCAGGATAACATCATAGACCGAATTCATGAAAGATGAAAAATCCCTAAAACTGTCATATCCACACTTACTTTATATTCAAATCTATTCTTTTCTCCTTAAATCCTTTTCATCTGGGATTCTTTTGTATTTCACACTGTTAGTGCTGAGGTCTGAAAGTAAGATTGCGTTTCATTGAGTTCACATTTTCCTTCCCTGACAAAGTTTCATATGATACATCTGCTTTATTAGTTAGTTTATTAGTTTAATCATATCAACTTGTTAATGTCATTCATTATTGTCGTGGAGGTAGCTCTGAGCCGGATTAAAGATGCAGAGAATTGAGTACAAGAAAGAAAATGGAAATGAAGCTAAATTTAAAAAATCAGAATGAAGGATGGATGTTCTTCCGATTATATTTCATACATAAACCCAAATCTTTGTAAAATAAATTATTTTTACTCTCAGTATGCTAAAAGTAGAAGTATAAAGATCTTTTGACAGCCCAATGATGGCTTTCAGCAACATGTAAATACTATCCTGAGTGGCTTAAGTTAATAGGTGGTAAATCAGCTCAGACAAGTGGGATCACTACATGTTTAGACTGAATACAGTGCAGTGTGCTGCCAATGGATTAGGAAGGATTACTTTTAACTCTATCGTTTTACATCCCTTACACTCTCCCGCTGCATCTTCTCTTGCTCGCACACAGACTCAGCTTTCTTTTTAGTCCCTCACGTTATCTTCTTTTTGTCTCATATGCTGCAGTTCCTCTCATCTCTTTTTCCCCTCTCAGTATTCCCTGATAACCCAGTCTTGTTCTGAACTTGGAGCAAGATCAAATGCTGCTCCTCTCTAAAATCAGAAGTACAAGCTGTTTTAGAATGTCCCCATGTTAATGCTGGCAGTGACCTGCTATCCCTACTGTACGTCCAGAGAGGCACTAAGGAGTCTGTTGTGCATATTTCATCATTGCATGGCTGTCTAATTAGGTCAGCGTGATCCTCTCATTCCCATGGCAACTAAAGTGTTGCGAGCGAGGGGGAGAGAGAAGAAGAGAGAGAAGAAGAGAGGGAGATTATAAGTGACTGAGTCTGTTGGTAAATGATGCAAGGATGTCTGTGTGTGGGTGTTTCTCAGGGAACCGAGAGAAAGGAGGTGATGGAGCCGCCACTGGTTATGATGAATTCTATTAACACATTGAGACTGTATCAATCCGCCCCAGCCATCTCAGTTTAGGCAATTTGAATCATACGGGCCCTTTTACCCATTTACATTCCAACCCGTGGTGCACATGACACCAACAAAACAAGCCAAACAAATAAAAACAACAACTAATCTTTAATTTGTGTAAGAAGAATATTTAGAACAAACAACCAACAATCTAATTTCCTGCTGGATAATGAAACACTTATGCTTTGCAAAGGTCTTTGCTGCCTCACAAGGTGTTATTTGGCGTCTGATCCTGTGGCGAATAACACACGAATGCTGTTTGTTTAGTCACGCCTGTAGGGTAGAAATTAAGCTCCAACTGGTAGCTAGCTGGTTTAACTTTAACTTTATCTCTATGGGGAGGATAGCAAGTGACCATTTAATATTCTGACATTGTTTGGGCTGGCCCCTCTGCACTGGCTTCCCTTTTCTGAACCATTTATATGTTTACAGATTTACAAGTAGACTCTCTGACTTTCAGTTCCTAAGTTAGACAAAGTTTTTTGACAAACAGAAAAACATTATAGGTCTCCAGTTAATTTAGGGTGGTTCCCAGAGAAGTTTATATATGAAATGGTGTCACTGGAAATACAGGAAGGCACTCATTACAAATACGTTTTCTCTTATGCTTTATCAATTTCTTGGTTGTCAACACTTGGTTATGCCTCCATATTTTCCTGCTTATTTCAATTTAGGACAACTTCTGGATTGATAAGCATAACTTGAGTCATAGAAATGACAATATGCTTCCCATCAAACTCCAGTGTTGTTCAAATCTAGTTGTTCAAACTTAGAACAACACCAGAGCGTTAAAGCCACCCTCTGGTCCACAATTATCTTCTAGCAAACTGCAACATGAGATGAATATTTTCATCAGAATCATTTCTTAAATATCATGTCGACACTGTGCTTTACACCACAATTTGAATACTTTAGATTCTGTTGAAGTATTCATTACCAATCTGTATAACAATTCAACTTTAGCAAACATTAATGCAGAATAAGCAACACTTCCCTCTGAATCCTAATGACCTCTTTTACTAAGCATTAATTAAACAGTCAGATTTGACTCTCCCATGATGGCCTTAACGTAACCACAACGTAGAATCCAGCCTGATAAAATTGCAAGCCTCCACTTTCCTCTACAATATCATAAAACCACGACCGCATTGCATGAAATTGATTAGATCTGTAATTCACTTCACTGTAGCGAGTTGAAGAGAAACACAGCACCCTTTATCAAACCACTTTAACTGTTCTCTGCAGACCAGCACTCAATAACAGCAAAGATTCAACAAGGAAAGGAGACAAGGTGTCTGATAGAGAGCAAATGTTTCAATCGAAAGTATAATCTTTTAACCCATGTTCTGCACAGGGGAAGTTTTTTGTGTCGAATTTCATCTGACTGACACTGAGACTGTTTAAACCTCGATTGTTTCAAATGAAATAATTCAAATGAAGAACAAGACAGTTGTCGATGAAAAAAAGTCTAAATTACAAATCCAGGGCTAGAGCACGAGTTGACAGAAGTTGAGATTGTTCTGTCTCTGAAAAACAAAATCTTGTCAAATGGAGAGAAAGTCATGGTGAGGACTGCACAAACATTCAGCACAGTCATTTAGCGGCATTGATATTGATCCAGTCAATAGTATTGTAGGAGCTATTTTCCTCCCACATATTGGACAGAATCACATCGCAACACCTGTGACTCATCTGCATGAGCTCTTTACATAAGGCCCACGGCTGAAGTGAAAACTCCACAGGATTTGAAACCAGACAATGAAATAAACCTTGCGTAATAATAAAAATAATAATAATAACATGCTTCTGAATAGGTCATATCTCCCACACAACTGTTTTTTAGGCCGTGTTGTTTAAATGCATTTAGTTTTTTGTAATTTCACTTTTAATTTTCCTTTGGTTTCTATTGGAAACTGCCTGTGATACTCCTTATATATGATCCCTATATATGGGTCCACATAAAGGGGAGGTTTTACAGTCAATCAGGGAGGATGGATAATGAGATTATCTATCTATCTATCCCCAGGTCTCACAACACTGCAGGTTGTTTTGGATATGGCGGCAGAAAAGAAGTGGCACGTGACAGCCATCAATGTGGGGAACCTCAAAGATGAGAGGAAAGATGAAGCCTACCGCTCGCTTTTCCAAGATCTGGAGAGCAAAAAGGAGAGGAGGGTGATCCTTGACTGCGAACAGGACAAAGTCAAGGACATCATGGAGCAGGTACGGTAATATCCGGCGGGCTTTATGTGTGACAGCACACAGACCTCAAAACCTAAGTCAGTTTGTTTATAGCGTTCAATCTCAGTCAATCAATCGATCAAATCTATTTATAAAACACATTTAAAAACAACTCACATTGACTAGCAGTGTTAAAAGAGAGTGGTGACAGCTAAAAACAAGCAAGGAACTAATAAATAAATACAGAGAGGGTGAAAAGAAAAAAAATGATAGGCTGGGGTGGGGGGGGTCACCCCTGAGTTTACAGTATGAGCGTGGTACCAATTTCGTCTCTGAGTCAGCCCATCTGAGGGATCTGGAAGAGGAATAGGGGCATAAAAGATCTGTGATGTAAGTGGGTGATGGTCCATGCATGATCATAAATCCGTCAAATAAAATATTGATGCTTTATGCATCAGGATGGAAATATTTTAAGTCGTAATAGAGGTGTTAACCCATCAGAGCTGTCACCACAGGGGGGTACCGTGGCTCATTAGGTACTTTAGTGCATTCAGAAAACACTCAAAAAAACATGGTATGAACTAAAATATATTTATTTTGAGATGCGAACACCTACGTCGATGCCATTTTCAGACTGCCATAATATCTGTCCTCTAAACAGTAGACTGTAATATCATGCAGCTTTTCAAGCAAAAATGATAAAACAACGTAAATGTTTCTGTGTTGGAAGTGGATGATTGTAAAGGATAAAGTGTGTGGTTTTAACAACGAAAGAACGAGTCATTTACCCTTCACATGCAACCCAGCAGCTCATCAAATTTAAACTGAAACAATTACTCTAATTATGTAACCACAATTAAAAGTAAAACAAATGGAAATAAACAAGATGTTTATACTTAACCTCTTACTTCATCCTGTAGAGAAGCCTGTTGATTAAAGTTTAAAGTTCCCGGTTGTCTATCAAACCGAATGCTGAGGGAAGCCAATTTAGTCAGTTTATCAGAGAAAACAAGTGTATGCTCATCAGGTGCATTTTATTGCTTAAACATTTTCATAGTAGGTGTGACAAATAGATGGGATGGGCAAAGAATCTGGTTAATTTATTTAGTTTTTATCTCAACTGGAAAGGACATGAGCCGAGATTCATACGGTATTTTTCTCTATCCTTTTTCGTGTTACAGATAAGAACATTATTTTGGGAATATGATAGCTTTCTTTTTTTGTGCCTGTTGTTTCATACCATTATTTATTTCAGCAAAATATTGTGATTGAATTAAGCATTGTTAGAGATCCTTTACAGAACCTCTTTAGAGTTAATATAGTGAGATGTTTGCTTTGTTTCTGTATGATACATGTTTGTCGTATAACTTTACAGGTCATCACAATTGGCCGCCACGTTAAAGGCTATCACTATATTATAGCAAATTTGGTAAGTTCCAAATACTGTATTTATTAAAATATTATCTTTTATTTATTTTCCTTAGTTCCTTAAATCAATTTTAAAGTTACAAGTTGACATGGGATACATTTGACCTATTTCCATTGTGTTTTTCCAGGGTTTTATCGATGGAGATCTGTCCAAAATTCAGTATGGTGGAGCCAATGTTTCAGGCTTTCAGATCGTTGATTTTGAAGATCCATTGGTTTCAAAGTTTGACCAGCGTTGGGAGGCCCTGGAGGAAAAGGAGTATCCAGGAGCTGATAGCAAAATAAGGGTCAGTTAGAGGATGCAGATGGGATGCTGGCTCTTTAGTTTTCATATATTTGTACCATCAAAATACTGGAAATATTCTCACACTTGATATTTATAAAAACTGTGAAATACCTCTGCATTTACAAAACAGTTCTAACATTCTGAAAGACAAAAAGCACAACATGGGACATTCAAGATGTTCTTCATTAGGGCAATATATAAAAATACAACAAAAAAAAGCTAAATGACAAAGATGATAATGTTTAAGAGAAGGGGTAAGTGTTTGAAGTTAGAACTTCATAGGAGTGCACTTTACTTCCAAGTGTCTCACTTTGGTCCAACTCAGTTATTCAATTTATGGTTTAAAACCTGTAGTTGAGGGATGTTTTGTCAACCCATTCTTATGAAAATGAATTAGGTTAGATTTCAGCCAAAATGGATGGTGTAAGACTTGACATACTGTATGACTTCTATAATTTAATTTTTGTTGATGATATTGATGTTAGGACGAGTCCCAATTTGATTTAAATTCAATTTCAGTGGCTCCTCAAATAAGACCCTACAGATATTTTTTTTTTCAGATTTGCCATGCAATTTCCAACCCCAACTGCATGGTTTAAATTTAAATGTCAATGAATAACTGATCAATAAATCAATAAATGAACATACTGAGGGTTTAACTGATAAAGGATTTATGTTAAATAAGGTTTCTCCCTTCAGATTCATAACCCCACACATCTTCTTCCCTTAGTATACGTCAGCCCTGACCTACGATGCTGTACAAGTGATGACGGAGGCCTTCCGATATCTGCACAAACAACGCATTAACTTCACAAGGAGGGCCAACAACGGAGACTGTCTGGCTAATCCGGCCGTGCCGTGGGCTCAGGGAGTGGAAATTGAGCGAGCTCTCAAACAGGTAACATCCAGTTGCTTCTGCGCGTCCCTCTCATCGGCTGTTATCTCGAAGCAAATTCAAATCTGCTGCTCTCAATGATGCCGTTTCGCATAGACGCACTTACCATGACATACTATTTTTTTTAAAACAGCGTCGGAATCTGGTTTTCATCCTTGTTGGAATCAGCTTGAAGCAGCTGCTGCTCTTTAATAAGCATGATGAGGGGTATAAGCAGATTTATGACACTGCCGTCACAAGAGAATTCCTCATGCCAAACATTAAATTCAGACAATCCATGCTCCTTACTGTCAGACACTGGCAGTTATTAAGTGAGAGGACTGTCAGCAATGGCTACTCTTCTGTAGAAATTGCTGTTTTGTCGCGTTTTGTTGTCTGAAACAGCATCCAATCACCTGATAATTATGTTTTGGTGACCCAAATCATACGGGGGGGGGGGAGACCCGCGCAGCAAGAGTTCTCATTTCCGTGAAAACTGTGCTGTCATTCGTCTCTTTTGTTTGTGAAGACTTGTTGCCATGGTTACCGCAGCTCCCCTCTAGGAAATGTACAAACACCCACAAAGCTGAAAGTACTTCAAAGAGATTAATTCAAGACTGATGTTTTCATCATGCATATATACACACAGACAAACAGCGCTATTCCTCAGAAGAAAAGCAAAGGTCTACCCACACACTGTCCTCGGAGCTTTCAAAAGGCAAGATTAGTTTTACTAAAAGTGAGGTTCAAAGGTTTTCCAGAGCTTTTCTTTTCTCTAAGTTTCCAGGCTTTTTAGACTTGGAATTGAGAATTTAATTGATTTGGGCACTTACTTAAGTAAAGTAAGGAGGTCTGTGACATTTATTTTAATCATAATGATACTTCAGGAACATAAATTGAGGAGATTAACTTTGTTCATATGTTCAAAACCTCAGGGTGAATATTTCCAGATTCTCTTTCAACTTGTGGAGGAAGCAAATCTTTTAATATGACTGTATTGCTTAAGAAAATTATACTTGCTCATGCAAGTAATTGTAAAATTGGATATGTGTGGAAATCTTTATTTAATTTGATGGTGGCAATTTAACACATCGCTTTTTGCAGTGGTCATACAAACCCTAATTTATGTACCCTAATATATTAAGTCCAATCTATACTGTAAAGCAACAATGAAATGTAAACATTTGGTGTCCACTTTCATGGGTAAATCACAGTTTTAATTCATAGACTGCCATAATATACTTACGTTATTCAAACTCTATGTTGCTTTAAGTCATTTTTTATGTCAAACATACAGTATATGGCTCTTACTATTTTTTTATATAACCTACCTGAATACCTGAATAGCTCATGGCTATCAGCAAACACATAAAAAATCTGTCCTCCAATGGCCAAGCACTTTGAGGACACCTTGTTGATTCTGTGTCTCTAAGGTCCGAGTGGAAGGCCTCACAGGAAACATTCAGTTTGATCAACACGGGAAGAGAGTCAATTACTCAGTGAATATCATGGAGTTGAAGAGTAATGGTCCGGTGAAGGTAAGTTTATGCATGGTTATCTGCATAATACATTTAAAGTTAATTATTCTCCATAAATTCCTGACTACAGGCCATGCCTTTTCCTCATACTTTGAGAACTTTGAGTAGTCGTAATGATGAGAAAAGCTGTTTAATTTTTAATGCATTGCACTTTTGTACGCTAAAAAATTGAATGAAATTGAGATTACATTTTTTTAAATTTGATTTAATTAAGGTTAAAACCAGCCCAGAATTTTTCTTTCTAAAATGATTGGCTGTGGCTTATATTCAGGTGTGCTCTAGTCTGGAATTTATGGAACTTATATGAAAATTCATCAGCCATTTTTTATGATATGTATGAAGCAGTATAGCGTACAAGCTAATTGATGTTTCCTACGTTTTCACCAAAATGAATTATGTATTTCCCATGCAGATTGGATACTGGAATGAAGTGGACAAAATGGCTGTCACCAAATCGGATGTTTTTACAAATGATACAACAGGAATGGAAAACAAAACCGTCATTGTCACCACCATTTTGGTAAATGTTGTGCAATGTAAATCTTCCTTTCATCCAGTTATTCCAGCTTTTGACCAGAAGCAACGGGTCAAGTATTTCATTACACATGACTTTGCCCACTGAACTGCCCGCCTGGTCCCAGACTTGAGTCTTTGACGCTACTTTTTACATCGTAAGCCGACATTTTGTACTGATCTGGGTTCTCCGTTTTCACCCCTCCTCTGCAGGAAGCTCCATATGTAATGCTAAAAAAGAACGCTGACCTTTTCGTAGATAATGACCGCTACGAGGGTTACTGTGTCGATCTGGCAGCTGAGATAGCAAAGCATTGTGGCTTCAAGTATCAGCTGAAAATAGTGGGAGACGGGAAGTATGGAGCAAGAGATGCAGAAACCAAAATCTGGAATGGAATGGTTGGAGAGTTGGTTTATGGGGTGAGTGTGTTGATATGAATTAATAGGTTGTTATTTATCATGGTTTGGTTAAATTTTCTATTATTGTCTATAATGGATTTTCAGCTAATTTGTTTTTTTTTAATCTATCTCAATTTTTGCCATTGTGACTGACAGAAAGCAGACATCGCAGTGGCACCTTTGACCATCACGTTAGTACGAGAGGAGGTTATCGACTTCTCTAAGCCATTCATGTCCTTGGGGATCTCCATCATGATCAAGAAGCCCCAGAAATCCAAACCTGGAGTCTTCTCGTTCCTAGACCCCCTGGCATATGAGATCTGGATGTGTATTGTCTTTGCCTACATCGGTGTCAGCGTGGTGCTGTTCCTCGTCAGCCGCTTCAGCCCCTACGAGTGGCACACCGAGGAATATGAAGACGGCCAGATCCAAACCAATGAATCGACTAATGAGTTTGGCATATTCAACAGTCTGTGGTTCTCCCTCGGAGCCTTTATGAGACAAGGCTGTGATATCTCACCTCGGTAGGTCAGAAAAGTCAAACACACAATGTTGCTTGTGTCTCCATTTGTCGAAAATGACTTTTTTAGATCTTATTGCAACCATCTCAGCTGCCTTATTGCTTTGATATATATATATATATATTGCTTTTTATTTCAATTATTAAAATTTTTCTACCGTTTTTTTTATAAGAGCTTTAGATTAATCCTATTTTGCAGTCTATTTATATGAGTGGTGATATGCATAATGGTACATGTGTACAAGTTGCAATATTGCATGGTGATATCTTACTTTAAATGCATATCTTAGTTGATTTTGGGCCTTTCCTAAAATAACTGTAGTCAATGAAAGGTATATTTAAAACATTACAGTTGGCAAGAGCTCTCTCAGGCAGTGATTTCTTATTTAGAGACATAAAAAGAATGCCATTTGCCCGATTTTACCTCTTCTATTTAAAGAACATCTCACGCACGCCGTTTCTTGCCATTGCACACTTTATATTAAATTAGCAAGTGAGAAAGCTATTTATGAAACTTACCTTTTAGGATGACTATGTAAAATAATGTGCAAGAGTAAAGTCTGGTGCTTAGCAGTCCTGTTCATAAGGGTAGAGATTAGAGATGTCTAGACATCTGACTTAAAGTGGCCTTTAAATGCCAGGTTGGTGATGTGGGTTTTTAATTTTTCCAAGCTTCAGGTATCGTCTTTATATTAAATTTTTGAACAGGTTTTGTGAATCCAGTTTTGATCAAATCACATAGTTGCTTCTTTCAAATAGCAAATAACTTTATATTTTCTTTTGATTTGAACAATACTGTGAATTGTAGTGATGTAAACATTGTGACTAAATTACTTTATTTGTAGTGCAGCCTGTTTTTGAGATTTTGTAAAAAAACAGAAGTGAAAGAAAACTATTAAAAATGCACATTTTCAACACTGTATTTTCAGAAAAAAATATGTAAGATTTCCAGATTAATGCTAAATAGTTTATCTTGCCCCAGCATGCTGCTTATTCCAAAAGATGTGTTTAAATAACCAATGATAAAAAATTCAGTTATTTCACCCAAAACTCTTTTAACTGTGGATGTTGTTTTTTTTATTTTTATTTTAGCACGGGAGTACGAAGCACACAAATAATGACTTTCCCCTCTGCTATAGATCGCTGTCGGGGCGTATTGTTGGAGGTGTCTGGTGGTTCTTCACTTTAATCATCATTTCCTCCTACACGGCCAACCTGGCTGCTTTCCTCACTGTTGAGAGAATGGTGTCTCCCATTGAAAGTGCCGAAGACCTGGCCAAACAGACTGAGATAGCATATGGGACTCTGGACTCTGGCTCCACTAAAGAGTTTTTTAGGGTAAGACACATTGCAACTATTAAAACAATACATCTCACTGTCATACATTTAGTCAGTATTGTTTATCCTCTTGTCTATCAAATGAAAATTCAAACCAAACACATCGGATGGGTTTTATTAGTGCATTTAAACATTCCAAAAACCTATAAAAATAATAATAACTCACAGACTTCATAGCATGGCGAGGACCCATAATCAGTTTATACCCCTTTTTTGTCTTTAGATGGAGAGATAAACAGAATATAAACAGATTTTTTTTTAAATACTCATAATTTATTACTGTGCGATAAGTCAGTTATTGTTGTGTAGTCTTCTCCCCGCTGTTATCATGTAAATCTGATTGTGTAAAACGGGGTTTTGAGCAAAGTTTTTGCCATTAAATGAAAACAAAACATTTCAGAAACTGTCTTTATCAAAAATGATACATTTGGCATTGTAAGGTTAATGATTGATTTGCTGCTTACTGTTTATTATTTCTCAACACAGCGCTCAAAGATTGCCCTCTTTGACAAGATGTGGACATACATGCGCAGTGCGGAGCCCTCTGTGTTTGTAAAAACCACAGCCGAGGGGGTGCAGAGGGTCCGGAAGTCAAAGGGGAAGTATGCTTACCTGCTGGAGTCCACCATGAATGAGTACATCGAGCAGCGGAAGCCCTGTGACACCATGAAAGTAGGAGGAAACCTGGACTCCAAAGGCTACGGGATCGCCACGCCCAAAGGATCCTCATTAAGGTGGGTGGAATAGTATAACAATGTGTCCAATGTTGTTATAGTATCCCACCTACCCTGATGTAGCTTTGCTTATGTGTCTCTGGTTTGTATAAAGGAGATGAGGTAATGCCCCCCCCCCTCCATCTGCAATTTTTCCCAAAAACGTTGCAATTTATTGTAAGTCGATAAATTGCAAAACAAAACATAGAGAAAAAAAAGCACTTGTTTAAAATGAATTATATATATTCAAATTTTGTAAATCCTATTGATCAATATTGACAAAATTGCAAGAGATGTTTCCCAAATTATTTGCAATGACTTCTGGGACACAGATTTTTGTGACCCACTCCCATTTGTTCAAGTTTTCAATGAGATTTTGAATTTTGGATTTTAAAATTTTATATCGATACACCCAAAGAAATTTCAATTAAGATTCCTCTCCTTCATTTTACCTGTCCAGCACTGTCTTAGCTTATGTCCTTTTCCATGTTTCTAGTATGCTTAACCTTTTGCTGCTCTCTTTTTCCCTTTAATGACTAATGAATAAGTACACATGTTTTAATAATTGATATTTTAGGAGTGTATTTTAGACGTTTATCGCTTTTTAAATGCTATGTGTTACTAAACCCTTGCAGTACACTGTTTTGTTCAAGCAGTTAAAGAGCCTTTCCTTTGTGGGAAAAAAATTGGTCTACACCCCCAAAACAAAATTATGCAGTCTTAAATGTGGCACTGCTCGGGTTTCAAAATGTTTATAGTATGAAGTATAGTATGAAATGTTTCATTGTGACCATCATGGCTGTTAAAACAGTGAGAAATTTATCGATAGTGTCGGTACATTGGATCAGAAGGGGCTAAAATCTCCCTTCATACTCAAAGGCGGGATATGTTTAGAGTGTTTAAGTGCAAAGCGGGCTGGATGTCGTCATGAAACCTTGCATGTTTTTGATCTATTTTGATGAGGCTCTAACCATCTTTTCCCATTACTGCTGTTTTGCTGTCTCTCTTTTTAGTGGAGTCACTTGCCAGGCACTGTTTTATGTATGTTGTGGATGTGAGTACGTTGCTGTAGCCACTAGCCCCCCCCCTAGTCCTAGCACTCTGTCCTCTCTGTTGTGTTAGGCTTAAGCTCTGCCACCTTTGACCAACATTAATGTTAGATACAGATTTGATCCTTTTTTCTTTAAGACAGATCTTTGTGAAATAACTATTCAATTGCTTTGAGAAAGGGAGAATAGACTTACATCCATTTTTTTTTTTTTCCTTTTAGCATTTCTATAGCTTTTTCTTGACTATCTCTAAGGGAGTGATAGACAATTTTATAAGTGGCTCACCCTGTCTTACAAGTATGTTTTATCATTTCAAGAAATGCGGTTAACCTCGCAGTACTAAAACTGAATGAGCAAGGCCTGTTGGACAAATTGAAAAACAAATGGTGGTACGACAAAGGAGAGTGCGGCAGCGGGGGAGGTGATTCCAAGGTCAGCCCCAGTGAGCAAAGTGATGGGTAACTCATTGAAAACTCCCCAAAAAAAGTAAGCAGCAAACCAGCGCAGGACCCCAATTCACACCGACGGCAGGCCAGTCACCTGCCGGATCGGTCGCACCAGCTAGCGGGCCTCAGCGATGTTTATCGGGGCGCACACACACACAGCTGGAGTGTAAAGAAACACAAACCAGATTTAAGCAGACTGGGCTTTTCCAATCCGATCCGGCTGCAAAATGGCTGCCGCTCTTGCTGCTTACTTCAGGTGATACGTTAATGCACATCTGGCTCTGCAAAACTCGCTTTTGCCTAGGCCAAATGGCGCATCAACGTCTATCGCCACTGTGACAGAGAGAAGAGACAGAAATGTAAAGAAAAGAGAATCAAAGAGAGAAAAAAGAAAAGAAAAAAAAGTTCTAATCAGTGTTAATGTAATAATAACATAAAATAACATTTTTTAATGTTATTTATGTTATTCTCCACGTGAAGAACGCCAGTAAACCTTGCAGTATTGAAACTCAGTGAGCAAGGCGTCTTAGACAAGCTGAAAAACAAATGGTGGTACGATAAGGGTGAATGTGGAGCCAAGGACTCTGGAAGTAAGGTTAGTCGCTGCAGGTTCTATGTGATTCAAGCACATTCATAATTATTAGTGGGAATGACCCCATTTAAAGTAATGATAAATCATTTCAAGCAAATGCACATAGCATGAGATGCCTTGGTAAAATGTAATTTACTAATGCCTGCAGACCTACTAATGATTAATATCATTTATACTTTATGAAACAGTAATGCATGCAGTGTCATTCTTTAAATATGCACTCCTCAATCAAAATGACCCTTTAAATCCCTCTTTCTTTCTCCAGCCACTCAAATTCTAAGACAAAAGAAATTGAAAGCTTTTTTCCTACAAAAAAGCTTTGACTTATTTTAGACCTAAAACATTTGTAAGCAGCTACCCAAAAGGAAAAACAAATACAGTAAATTGATTGGCTCAACTTTGGACCATCTATAAAGGGTGTCCAATGGTGTTAAATGTCCTCTCTGTTGTATCACCGTCTTTCACTGTCTAGCACTGCGAGTCTTGTGCTCTTTTGTTCCCCATGTGTTTATCTTTTATCACTTGAAAGCACTACGAATTATTGCTCGACCACTATTTCTAAAAGTCCCACAACAAGCGGCTCTCTCGCCTTTTTGTTTCAGTGTTCGGAAAAAAAAAACGAATCACGTCGAACACTGATGCAATTAACTGTTTCCTTTTTTTTAATTCTGTTTCTTCAATCAGCACTTTTTTTTTTCATTTCTGTGATAATTGATTCTCACTTCTGTGTTGTTGCTAAAGTGCTCCAAACCAAAAGAAAAAAAAAAAGAAAAATTGTGATTGTGTTGTCTTTGGCTGTGAAAGTTGTCACTTTTCCCCCTCACAGAAAAAAACTTTGCTCCACTTTGAAAAGGTAGAGCCCTATGTATCCATACGGCATCAACCGTGAATGAATACATGGGTGCTTGATACGCCTAACAAAGCTCTCTGTTATTTATGTGTTCCTGATTAATTTATTACAAAACTGTCCTCCCTCTTGTCTCTGTCTACAAGTAAAGGTCTTTGAGCACGTTTGTAATGGCTTAGCCCCTTTGCAGTGGGCAACCCATGTAAATGGTCCTTGTACCCCACAAATTTCTTATGTACATTCACAACACGACGATGTTTAATGCTGCAAAGACTGCTGCTACATTCCATTTTAATTAACTAACCTTATCCACCACATTGCTTTCAATTTGACTCACAAAAAAGCAAAAAAAAAAAGTGTATTTGTCTTACTTTCTGTGCTTTTGAGACATTAGTTGTCACAGAAGCTTACATTTTCTACATATAGTGGTGCATTTTGTGCATTTTTTTTGTTTGTTTGTTTTGTTTTGTGGTTGATGTGATTTTGCTTTTGATCATGTAAATTTTTTTTTTTTTTTTTTCAACATCTAGCCTCGGTCGTGAAACTAATCGTTGTCTCGTGTGCATTCTGCAGGAGAAGACGAGCGCCCTAAGCCTGAGCAACGTGGCTGGGGTCTTCTACATTCTGGTCGGAGGACTCGGTTTGGCCATGCTGGTGGCCTTGATTGAGTTCTGTTACAAGTCCCGAGCCGAGGCGAAACGAATGAAGGTGGCAAAGAATGCACAGAATATTAATCCAACTTCCTCGCAGAATTCACAGAATTTTGCAACTTATAAGGAAGGTTACAACGTATATGGGATCGAAAGTGTAAAAATTTAGGGGGTAGGGAACGAGGTTTTCATTAAATTCCCCCCAAATGCACGCTTTTTGGCTCCATCCGTTTCATCCTTCAGTGTTAGTGAATGAAGAGGTTGGCCAAAGAATCGTATGTACTGGTGATTTATGATTTAACGAGAGAAAGAGATACTTCCCTTTTTTAAAGCATAAGATTGTGTTTGTCCATTTAAGTTTCCTTACTCTTTGAAACCCATTTTCATGTATGACTGTTGATGGCCATGCTTGTTTATGCCTCTGTCCTAGTAACACATTTCAGAAATAATGCTTGCAATGACATTGCTGAAGTCTTTACATGATCATTTCTATCATGCATTGTGTTACCCCTGGACATCATCTTAAGTTCTCATCTGCATTCTCCCGTTTTGTGCATTTATAACCTTTTAAGCAAATTGATGAGGAGGGTCACTACCCAGTCTAACTTGGTGCTTCTCTGTTCCTTGTGATTTGTGCGTGTGCGAATGCGATAACGCCTGTGATGGTTTGCGTGTCTGCGTGTACATGTGTCCTGTGGGAATTTATAGATGACGTTTGGAGATGCCATGAGGAATAAAGCGAGACTTTCCGTCACAGGGAGTACTGGGGAGAATGGTCGGGTGATGACTCCAGAGTTTCCTAAAGCTGTCCATGCTGGCCCTTATGTGAGACCTGACATGGGACTAAACGTCAGCCTGACAGATCTATCCTGATCCATGAGAAACTCCCGAGTGCCTTACAACGGTTCCAACAGAGCGTTTTTTCCCTCTTTTTTTCATTTTTTTCGCCCTTTTCTCCCTTCCTCCCTCTGTTCTGCTCCTTTTTTTCCTTTTTTTAACCGGAGAATGAAAGGCAGGAGATGGAGGCTTCACATTGTCTATCACACAAACTTGTATTTTTTGCTTTCCAACTCCAATTGTCACCACAAATGGGAGCCTTCCTTTCTGGGCGGAATTCCTCGGAATTGAAAAGGGTGGCTATGTTTTTCAAAACTGGTGACGCCATGCTTTCCTGTCTACCTGCTTGGACTGGACTGAGGTGGAAGCAAGGGCTTGATTGACAGCTGGGGTTGCTTCTGGAAGTCAGAGATTCAGTCATCTCAGCTGTGTTTGTGTGCGACCACGAGTGTGTGTGCATGTATGACTAAAGGGAAAAATGTCCAAATCTCATTGTTTCCGTAGCCACCACCACCAAGCGGGATTTTCAAGCACACTTGATATCATCTGCATTAAGATGTGAAATTGTCCTTTTTTTCTAAGAAAATCAGCAGAAAACAATGTTTAATGAAAAAAAAAATATTTTTATGTATTTTCACAAAATAGCTTTTAAATAAACTTGCTTACATACTGGTTGGATATAAACGTCTTAATGTGTGAGTATAAAGAAAGAATACTAAACAGCTTCTAGTTCCATATTTTTTAAAACCAAATACATTGCATATGGGGGTCAGGTGTGAAATTCATGTAATTAATTCCTATAATAAACTTTCCTGTATATTTTATTCTTTAACATTTGGTGTTGATATGAACTATATGTCAATGCTTGGCATTGGAATCAATCCTTCTATGTTTCTTCTTGTTAAGGTTGGTACTGCAGTTTTGCTTTCTTCTTATGTCTCTTTGTTTGCTTCAGTGCTTTTGCTGTTTGTATTTTTTCTGATGAGGACCGCGGTTCTCACTCTGCTTTCAAGGGGAACTCACAAATCTGTTTACATACCATGATTGGAAAACAGATATAGTATTTGAAGTGACATCCCAAGGCATCCACATCCACATGGTTTACGTGATGGTTCAAAATGCCAAATAAGTAACAGTGCCAAAATCTAGTGCCAGTAGGTATAAATATAGTCTCAATATAATCATGTCACTGTCATCTCAGTGAATGTAAATGACTCAAATACATTCAGTAACCTTTGTAACTAGATGTACAGTTGGTGGCAATGACAGTGCTAATACAATAGCCTTTTCCGTTTTGTTTTCCAGTCTCCACGTATTCTGCATTGATCTGACAATGAAGTAGCACCAGTTGCATGTTGTTGCCGCAAATACTACATAAGTTTATTTCATTACTGCCAAACATCCGTTTTCATTTCATTGTTGAAGTTGTGGAATAACTGTTTGAAATTGGAAATAAAATTTAAGAAATTGTATACAGAATATATGTCAATATATATATGTATATATATACATATATTTTATTTAAAGAGTAAAAACATGAGACATTTTATTGCCCCCTCATATCTACTTTGCTTCCTTTAATTGCTAAATTAAGAGTTATTATTTTCAAAATAATGTCTTACTGCAAATTAACTACACAGAAATACAGATGAGCACTTATTTAATGAGAAAACTCATTTTCCTTGTCTTTTTCTTCCTTAAAAAAGTCATAAATAAGCCTTTATGAAGCCTTTCACTGCAACCAGCTGGGAAATGAATAGCTTCACTTTTCTTTTTCTTTTTTTTCCAATATAAATACATATCCCGTAGTTGCTAATCAGTTTCATCACAAATCCAAGCTATTCCACTGACATTTTGTATATGGAATCTGTGCTAACTTGTTTATTTTTGGGACTCTTTCTAAATAAAGTTGCTGACTTCTTGTTATTGTCACTGTGTCATTTATTGAATTAATTTGCATCTTAATCTCTTTTTAATACTGAGGCTTTTTTCATTTTGCCTATGCGACAGCTAAAAGCAAAGGTGGCTATGTTAGCTTTTTTAACACACCATTCCAAAGCTGGTTAAATGTGTACGAGAAAACTGGTGTTTCTAAGATGCCTATGAATGTGTGTGCCAAAAACTTTATCTGACACGTGTTAAAATGCATATGGTAGTCAACTATATAGAAAAGCCCATCTATCCATTGCATCGCTTATTCTTAGTAGTGTCTGTGCGTAGACGCTACAAATGGTGAAATTCAATCTTTAATGAATCGCTTTTTTAACAAAGACTTATATTAAATGCTCATTAAAATCCTTGTAGCTCTGAGCTTAAAGTAGTTCTGAGGTTTCACCACGTTTTTTTACTTTGTCAAGATCAAAATAAAGCAAATGCAGGTAGTTGATACAGCTTATTGTCATGGCAGAACATGAAACATATTTGATGGTACACCATGGAGTGAAATATTTTACATTCAATTCTACATTTATATACATTTTACATCTCCACCTCCCACAAAGATACAGCAGAAGATGTGATCCTCTTGTCTAACATAACGCAGCTGTCGGGGCTCCTTTGTGAGGATGTCGACTTTAAACATCTCCCCACGGCTAAACTGACCAGACAAATGTATAAGCAAGAAGGTAATAATATACGTGGCTCACACAAAGACCAAACTGTCTCTAGATCTCCAGGGTTTTCCATTCAGTTTTAGGATTGTTGACATTTACTACTTTTGTTTCTGTTGTTTGGACTTGTATCTTCTCATATTTTGGTAGTTTTTAAATTGACTCTATGTATCTTGCCTGCATTTTTTATGTACGACACTTTTTACCGATTTTTTAAAAGTTAGATTTAGAATAAATCATACACCGTCATACACTAGAATGCCTCTTCTGAAGATATCCTGCTTATCTCCACAGTCTTCAGATTTTTCACGTTTACCTTGCACTGACCACCTTCACTCAATTGTTTAGAGTTGGAATAAGTATGTGGGTTAACAATATATACGGATAGAGCAGATAAATAGATGTGTTGTGATATAACTAAGCTTTTTAGATTTGGATTTTAGACTCTGTCATTGTGAGACTGGGCTGTGTGAAAATATAACCCACTATGCACACAAAACAGAGGCAAGTTCCTCATTTTCAAAATGTAGAACGTCGTCATCTGAGCTTGTTATTCACAAACCTAAGAGCAACAAATGCATTTTTCTCAGGCAAGTTTTATGAAGTTGGAGTAGAGTTTTACGCTCTTTTTTCTCTGTCTGACATTTGGTGAACTTTGCTGTGCACATTAAAATGCACCAGGTAGTCACACTAGTTTTGCCCAATCCACTATATAACCTGCTTCAAGATCACTCTGCCAAATCTAATGTATGAATGTTATATACTGAAGCCTTGATGTGTAAATATGACATCATAAACATGTTTGTATCCAAAAATACCAAACATGCAAATGATCCGTTGAAAAAAAACACAAACTGTGCTCGGCTCAGCACACTTTCAGTCAGTTAACTAAATGTGCATAAAACTGGGTTTGATTACCATCTGATGCTGAGTAAGATCAGATGGCTTGGCAGCCATTTTACACACATGGACACATCTGGTCAGTCCAAATGCTTTGTGAGGCTTTTTGCTTGGTGGATAATTGACTAATTCAGCTTTTACTCAGTCATTTCAGAGTTTGTGTTGGCATACATATCACATTAAACTCATTAACCTTTGCTTGGAGGGACTGCGCTAAGCTAAATGGCTCAGATGAGAGATCTGACAGATGTAATCTAATCAAAGATTTTTGACCAACAGAGTTCTGGTAACAAGAGCATAAAATTTAAATAAACATCATCATCAAGCCTGGTGTTTGATGAAAGTTCCCACCTGAGGTAAACCCCACGGGACACATGCGGGGAGATTTAAATTCAATGTTGTGCAATTTAAAAAGAGAGAACCTGGCTTGTCTAATTGTTATAAAGGAAAATATGCATCAAGTTAAAAGTTCTTAAAAATATCTGCTTGCTTGTATTTGATCATCAACACTATATCTACGAGTCTGTACTGAAAATAATATTCACCATCCACTAACCAATGGCAAAACAGACACTGTTATCAACTTGTGGGCAGTCTCAAGTAAAAAGAAAGATCAATTAAAGTAAAGAATCTATTAAATCAAAACCCAATTACTGATTTATTCTGTGGACAATCAGTTAGATGTTAAGCTGAGATATCAGACAATCAGCCTGTTTGAGTCCCAAACTAATTTAAAAAATTGGGAAATGTGACTCAAGACCATAATTGGATTTGTTTTAATGATATTTTTTAATAACTTGAACAAGACCCAGAAACAGTAAAGCAGAGATGTGTCCATCTTAATGTTGTAAAAAGTCATCATGATTGGAGCCTATAAACTGCGGTTACTTCCCAACGCGTACACATGTAGCCAATGTCCACAACAGTATTCTAGTTCAAGAAACTGAGGTTGTATTTTTTTATATTTTTATCAAAGAGGAAACACAAAAATAAATTATATCTCTCATCAGGACAACAATACTGTTCTAAGAAAGCATAAATATGATATTAGGTTGCTATGTAGGTTTGCTCAAAATTATACTTAAAATACTAAACTTGTTGAATGAAGAAGAAGTATGGATGGCGGTTTACAAACACTTCTCTTTTCAGCTAATCAAATAGAAAAATGTCATAGCCCTCCTGGGTTTTAAATGCAATTTAGTTTCAGCAAATGTTCTAGTCTGTTTGTTTCTATAATTGGAAAGTTTTTAGCTACTTGTCGAGTGGAACATTTCAATCACTTGCTTGGAGCACCTGTTTTCCAGCTCTACCTTTATCTAAAGAACAATGGATTCTTAAAGGTTAGAACTGTCCCATGGCAACATTGCAAATGTGTTGCTCTTTATCAGAATACAGCACCCGTAGCCCAACATTTCCTATTTATCGCTTTTCATATAACCTTCTTTTTCGTCAATCTTTTTTTGCAAGTTGGAAAATAACACATGCTCCTTTGGCTTTTGTGAAAACACAAGACTTATTGAAATTATG